GTAACCCTGCAGCAGCGAGGCCAGCGCTGCGCCCACCGCGGCGAGCGTGGTGCGGTCGCGGCCGCCGTCAGCGCCGAGTGTGGCGGAGGTGGCGATCGGAGCGGAGCTGCGGGGCTTGGCCATGAGTGCGGTGCTTGCGCGCAGAGCTGGGCGATCCAGGGCGGAGGCAGAGGTGGCTAAGACGATGAAGATGACGCTTCTGCCATTCATCGCAGCCAAAAAGAATTCGACGGTGCGTGCTAACCCTCGGAGACCTGTGTTTACTTTAAGGCCCTTGCCCTGCGAACGCGCACCCCCGGGGCTAGGGCTCTCTAGCCCGTAACCCGATGCCAATCATCCGGCCCGCTGGGTGCGCTTCTTAGCTCCCCGGCCCTGGATGTGCGGTTAATGACTGCACTCCAAGTGCTCCAAGTTAGCGGGAGATCGCCGAGGAAGAAGCGACAAGGGAGAGCACGACGAGAAGGGGGCGACCGCGAGGTGGCACGAAGGTTGAAGCGAGAATCGGAGAGAGACTGCGAAGAGAGATAGGAAGAGGCGGACGCCCAAGGGTGGGCGACGGCTAGCGCACCACACCCCTCTCCTTAAAATCCCTGTGTGGTGGCGGCGTGCCGTCCTCCCATCCCTCCCTTGGGGGGCACTTGGAGTGTTCGTTTTCTTTCTTTCTTTCTTTCGAGAGTGCGCGAGATCGACCGAGATTGCGCGGCGCGGCCCGAGGCGAGGTGGATGGGTTGGGAGCGAGGGGGCGGAAGTGTTCAGTGGTAGATGGTGAGCTCGGGACGCAAGAGGTGGCCTGTGAGCCATCCGGCTTACCTTTACCCTGCGTTCTCGCACATGGAGTGCGAGGTTCTCGGCTTTCAATCCCAAACTGTCACTCCCCTTTCTCCCGGCCGGGGTGGTGTCGACGGACTCAGGGCCGGTGCTTTGATATGCAGTACAGTGTGTGCTTCGAGGTAGTATGAACTCAGAACGGCCCCCCGAGAGCGCCTCTTCGACGCCCACGGGTCCCGGGGGGTCGGAGGGGTTGCGAGGGGGCCTTGGCTATTTTTTGTTTGAATCCTGGAGGCCGTTCGAACACATGTAACGTGCGTTCCACGTGCCCGTCCCCAGCAAGGACAACATGCTAGGGTGGCATGTGCGTCGTCCGTCGATCTCTCACGCTCAATCTCGCTCACGTCGATCTCTCACGTATCCTCCTCATCCTTCTCAGGTCCTTCTCACGTCGCCCTCGCTTTCAGGCTCGCCTTCCACGGCCTCGTACTCGACGTGGGCATCATCAACGTCCTTCCGTTCGTCGACGAGGCCGGTGGTTACGCAGGATTCGCCCGGGTGCCAAACCTCGGACCCACCCACCGTCGTCATGAGTGAGACATGCAGAGAGGGAGATTTTAGAAAACCAACAAGAAATCACGACTCTCACAGTGATTTGTTTGGGCTCGGCAGCTTGTCAGCCCTCAGCCGAAGCTGGGGCCGGTCCCGTAGCCGAGAGAGCCCGCTTCTTGACATGTTAGTGCCAGTGCGCCCAAGTCCCGTGCCCAGTGTTGTGCGAGGGAGTTTTGTTGTAAAAATCTTGACATGCATGACCGAGAACATGTCGCGGGAGGGCGGGAGGAGTCGGTTCACGGATCACGGTTCACGATTCTGGCGTGAACTGACACGCCTGGAAGCGCGACGCACCGCAAAAGTTTCTCTGATGCACCATGTCCCGTGCGTTTGTTCATTACATCGAAGGCAAGCTCAAAAAAAGAATTCTGAGTTCCCAGCGCACAATCGCGTGCGGACGCGAGGCAGAGGCGAGCTCTCCGCACCGTTAACGATGCCGAAGGAGGAGGAGGATGACGACGTGTCGTCGGTCGACATCGACGGGTCCGAGGACGAGGAGACCAAGGAGGAGGACGAGGAGGCCATGAATGACCTCAGCAACGCCGACATCGTGACCAAGTACCGGTGTGCCGGCGACATCGCGAACAGCGTGCTGACAGCCATCATCGAGGCGATCAAGCCGGGGGTGAAGGCGGTGGAACTGTGCAAGCGGGGCGACGATCTGGTGGAGGAGGCCACCTCCAAGGTGTACAACGTGAAGAAGGGCGGCAAGAAGGTTGAGAAGGGCTCTGCGTTCCCCACGTGCATTTCCGTCAACCACTGCTGCGGCCACTACTCGCCGCTCACCTCGGAGGACGACGTGACGCTGGTCGAGGGCGACGTGGTCAAGATCGACCTGGGTGTGCATGTCGACGGCTACATCGGCGTCGTCGCCCACACGCACGTCTGCACCGCCGACGCCGCAGCGCCGCCCGTGACGGGCAAAAAGGCAGACGCGATGATGGCGGCGTGGACGGCGTCGGAGCTGGCGCACAGGATGTTCAAGGAGGGGTGCAAGAACACCGAGGTGACCGACATGATCGCCAAGGCGCGCGCCGCCTCCCCCCCCCAGAGACACTATAATTTACTTTTTATTGCTTGTACAGCTGGGTTACTTCCACCAAGATTGGTCTTCTCTGCCTGCGGGAACACCCTCCCGGGCGGCCGGGTGGGGCTGCGGCTGGAGCTAGCATGGCTCGATAGAGCCGAGACCCCGTGTTGAGGCGGCGCTCCTGTGGGCGGCTGTGGAATCGGTAGATTCGACCTCAGGTCTCCAGTTACCAGTACTCTCATCCCAGTGGATGGACGTCCGGACGTCCCTTTGTGTTCCTCTTCAAGAGCGGCTCTTCCCGTCCGCCAGCGAGACGCTCAGTCGCTGGCGGCCGCAGTTTTCTGTGATAATCGTGTACAGAG